ACTTACTTTTTCGCCTTACTTTATTTACTTGGGTAGCAAGAAGAACTAATTCCTCTCTCAATTTTAGATCAAGATGTCATGTGTTAGTGCAACCACCCTTTTTTGGTACTGGCCTCCTTATGCACTATTCCCGCCCCGGCCATAAGTTAATCTCAGCCCTAACCCTCATTGGCAAAATTAAAGCCCAACACGGTATCGCATTGAAGGCGGCATAAAAGGGGCTACGAGCCGCTGTACTTTCGGAACTTTACTTTTCTTTTAGAGATCCGTATAATATATTGGTCTTTAGCTTGATTTTTGACATTACGAGTAGACTCAATATTCAATTTATTAAGAAGAATAGACCGTCAGAAGTCCACCTCCGCTAGAGAAAAGGAATTCGTGTATATCACTATTGAACCCTGAGATCGATCGAAAGATCCATCCCCGGCCAGCCAATAAGCGTACGGGCTCTAGGAGTTAAAAGCTCACTAATATTGGAAGGAAGAATCTTCACATTTTTTTCCTCTACCTTTTGATACCACTCTTTGTGGAGTTCCGTAAGAATGGCAGAGTAAAAGTAAAAAGTAAAAAGCCATGTAACTTTTGCCGGTGCGTTTATTAAAAGAAGATGATTCCTTAGGGTCAGTACCCACAATGCCAAGAGGTTGAAACTTACCATAAAGGAAGTCCACAAACTCTTTATCCTTTTGCCTGATTTGTATTCGGGCATCAGTACAACCTGCGGGAAGGTGGAGATATGCTTCTCCTAATAACATTCCGGTTATAACTTCTTTGAATTCCTCAGGGATCACTATGAGAGCCTTTTCCGCTTTGGTAGGCCGGTTTTTTTTGCGAGTTGGTTCACCCCTCTCCCCAAAAATATCAAAAACAACAATAAATCAATCGCGCCTATAATCACCGTTTTGCTAAACCTACAAGATCTAACTAAATTTGACATATTTTCTCTCGAGGAGTGGGTCTTTGTCATAAACTTAGCCTCTGCAGCGGCCTCAGAGTTAAAGGCCCACGCGTAATAAAGACCTTAAGAAGAACCAGCCTGGCTTTATAATAGTGTTGTTTGGGTTATCACGCTACACAAAACGCAAGTGCCTGGGGGTATTTTTTATTGGTCTTCTCACGCGTTCACACTAGAATTAACCACAAATTTCAAATACCTAAGGCCGCCTCGAAAAGCCTCTTCCTCTTTAAAGGAAACCGGTAAAACTGACTATTCCTTTACATTCAATACGTTTACCCTCCCCTTCTTTACTACCCTGTATAAGAACTGGTATCGTAAAGCCGAGGATAGAAACATAAAGGTTCTCCCTTCTAACATTGGCGAACTATTAACTCCTATTGCTTACTGGCTCTGCGGCGTTGACCATCGCGGGGTAGTGCGGATTTGCACAGATAGCTTTACTGCTGGCTCATCTTCTCTACGATTTGTCTCTGGAGGAGAAATGTTTGGAAGAGCTCCCCCGAGTCAGCCCTCCCGTTAAAGTGCTATCCGCAACTGGGAATGGCAAACCAATTACGGGGAGCCTGGCCTTGGCTGGGTAGATTATATCTACTTTAGCGGGCTTAACGTCAATTGCCTCTTTGAACTTTAGGGCAATCGGTTACTCAGAGGTGACCTCCGGGCTGCAATTATGCCTAAGGAGCAAAGTTTGGTGAACGAACACTGAGATGAGGCATTTTATTGAAAGTTCAAATGATAATGAATGATAAATCAAATACAATGAATCAAGCTTTAATTTGAGATTTAACCCTATCTTTAAAAGGGTTCGGCCCGTTGGCGCTATGGTCGTTACCCCTTTGCATTGGTACTGGGGCGGGGGTTAAACTTTGATCTTTCGCCTCCTTCATTTTATCGCGTGCCTTTATCTTCCTTCTTCTGTTTGGGTGGATTTACCCTGCCCTCTTTTTCCAGTTGTTAGAAGGGTCGAACAACCTTTTGGCTGCCCTTGGCATCTTACTGGATGGGCTGGGTAACTGGCTAACCTTTTCTTTAATATTCGAGGAGCTGGTTATCATTGAGGCACAGGGTTGGCCCAGAAAGGTTCGTAAGAAAACTCGTCCTTCTAGGGTTAAACTGCTAATCAAGAAATCGGATCTGGCCCTCTATTCTCAACTCTACTTTGTCTGGGACCGTAGAACCCCTAACGGAATTCGGGCCTACTCTACTGATTCGGCGGGTTCTTCGGATTCATCTCAAAACCCCTCTTCTTCTCAAAACCCAACTTCATCTCGCTCTCACCCTAAACCTATCCGGCTAACAATTCAAAGGATGCTCGCTTGCAAATCGAACAGAAAGATAGATCCTTTGTGGACCATCTCTGGGACCTTCTTAATTCAGTGGGTCTTGTGGGGGCACGGCCTAAGGAAAGAATAACCATTATTAAACCTTCAGGCAATACCAGATTTTCTTATTGCTTTAAAACCTTTACTCTGCCCTTTTTCACTTAACTTCATCAAGATTGGTATCGAAAGAAAGAAAAAGATGGAAAGAACCTTCAGATTCTACCAGGTAATATACGCTGACCTTTTAACCCCTAGAGCTTTGGCATATTGGCTCACCGGCGAGGGGCATTTCCATAAGTCTCAAGGTTGTGTCTTAATTTATACTGACTCTTTCAGCCCGAACGAAGTTGACCGCTTACGCTCTATACTCTTAACAAAGTTAAATATTGAATCTACGCGGGTAGCTAATAATAAAGCGAAAGAACAATATGGTATCCGGATACCCAAAAGAGAGGTCCCTAAAGTACAGCAATTGGTAAACCTTATATGCCTCATTCCATTAGATGCGGAAACCGTGTTGGGCTCTATTGCCCTTTTCTGCTAACTTAAATCCCCATTAAAGCTCTCCCCCACACTATTATTTGATTTTAATAAAACATTTGATTATATAGTCGAGGAGTTGGCCCTACTGCGATCCATCCTCTCAACTAAGTTCAATATTGAGTCTACTCGGATTACAGCCGGCAATAACAATCAGGACAGAATCCGGATAGCTAAGTCCTCTATGCCTACTCTACAATCTATCGTAGCGCCTCAAATCCCCCTCAATGATGGCCTATAGAGTGGGTCTTTAATCCTAGTAGGGAAGGGTTTGGGGTTCAAGGGGTTGGCAAGCGGCGCCCGCCATCCAGTAAGTCGCTTTCTCGATAGAGTAAAAGTAACCCCGCTCGGGCTCTCCCCCCCTTACGAGGCTCCTTCCTGATGACCTATTATCTTGGATACTATTCCCCCTTTGATCCAGGGTAGCCCCCCCGGAGTTAGGCTCGAATGACTACCAACCCCATTTAACTGCTCTATGCCTCTAGGTTGCCTACTGCTACCTCTATAGGAAAGTCCGGGGCTATATTGACCATATTAATGGAGCAATCTCCATAAACCCGTAAAAACGACGGCCAAGAGCAAAGAGAGCAGGCCCCCCAGCTTACCTTACTTCACCACCCCTTTAACCTTAACAAGCTCCCTTTATTGGATTCCTTTCAACATACCTACAATTCGTATGATTTTGTTTTTGAAATAATCGCTCTTAATTTAGATGTAACCCTATCTACTTTTCTTTCACCCAGTCCGTATTTTGAGACGAGCTTCCACAGAAATCATAATTAAAGCCAAAGAAAAAGACAAACTCCGTAAAATGCGTAGGTTACTCCAAAACCACCACAGTTCAAGTTATATCAATCAATTAGGTCGGCAGCTGGTAACATTCAACCCTCTACAACCCCGGTAAACTATAAAATGGTTGGAAGGGATAAGTTTATAAATAAAGCTCACCGCAGTTCACCTAGCTCTTACCACTTTCGTTGGCTTTTTCCCACTATGAGTTCTAACTTTCTTCGTCCTAAATAGGGTGCTCAACTAGCACAGGTGATCCCCCTCAAAGGCGGCTCCTGGACTCCCCCATATCCCTTACAGTAAAGTAAGTAAGGTAGAGTAGCTCATTAAGTGACGGCCCGGAGCGCCGCCGCCCCTTAGACTTAACTATTATACTTGATCTGTATTATGCTTGATCCTAACCTAGACTATTACAATAACTTATTACTTATACCTTACCATTATATCCCTAGACATATTTTGTTAAATTGTCCTTATTTAGGTTGAAACTTGTTTATTAGTTTGTGTGTTTTAGTCTGTTTATTTGAATTTATACTGAAACCAACTATTTGTATGCTTGTTTACTATATTTAACTAACCACCCTTTGTTTATTAAATAGATCTACCTTCAGCCCGTTGGCCTGTTTTACTTTATAGTTTGGCTGGTTTATAGGCTTTATTTGTTTTATGTTTGTTTGATTAATTACCAAGATTTGTCTTTTCTTATATTTGATAATTTATTAGGGATTTGTATAAGGCTCCTATCATACTGATATCCCACTCGACGGGCGGTGGCCATGCGCTTGCCAACCCTGCGCTGTGGCAGCCGGACCGTTTGTTTTTGGTTTTATTGCTATAGCTTTTACTGTGCCTATTTTTATTTTGACTTTGTCTGTCTCTTTATATCAAACCTTGCTTTGTATTGTTTGCTTTGTTTTACTGTTTTGCCTTGCTTTTTAGCCTTTATTTGAGCTGTTTTATTACAGTTTAACCTACACTTCAATTTTGTTGGTTTTCTAATTACATAGGCTTATTTTACTGTTTGTTTGTTTTGTTTGTTTTGTTGTTTTGTTTTATTCATAGTGATTCAAAAACCACCAATCATATAGAGACTGCGGCCCCTCTCAACCTAAGGTTATCACCGACATTAATAGTCAGCCTGGGCGGCTGGATGTAAGGGTCGATGCTTTAGCTCAACAGATTAATCATATTTCTATTGCTCCTCTCGCCCAAGCTCCAGCTGACCCAGCCACAACTCCTCACCTTTCCGCAGAACAATATGTCGTTACTACTCTTCCTCAAAAACTCCCACCAGCTCAGCAAGCCGACCTCGATGCCCTGCCTGCAGAGAATAAGGCACTACGGGCGAAGATCGAGCAGCTCGAGCAATCCAACAAGGCCTTAGCGGCCAATGTTAATACACTCGCCGGGTGGCACTAGCAGATGGTATCGGTGCCCTAAGACCTGGGCGATTACGCCGGTAACACACCCCCAGTAATCCCCGACGCGATTAGGTCTTTAATGCCTCCTAGGGTTTCGGGAAAGGAATAGATCTACTGTCAAGGGCCATAAAGGCGAATGCGAAAGTAAGGTCCCGAGAGTTAAAGCCAGCCCGTCTTCGGAGGGCGGCGGCTACCTATGGCCTGCCGGCTGCGGTCTGACCCAACGGGTTGGACGACCCTGCGGTCTGACCCAACGGGTTGGACGACCGCAGGAGCAGGAGCCGTACCCTTATCAGGCCCGGCACCGTCCGCCAGAGCCTTTATAGAAAAGAATATGTAAAAAAACAAGATGACATAACGGTTAACAGCAACCTAGATCATGATTTTCTTCTAGGTTCGACTCTCCGAAATGGACTCGAACCATTACCTTGACAGTTAACAGCTGGCCGCTCTACCAATTAAGCTACCGGAGATTGATGGTGGGTTACTTCGACTCTAAAAGAGGAAGCTGCCGGGCCGTACCCTTATCAGGCCCGGCACCGGACTTACAGGCATACGCCCAGCCCTGAGGCCCCAACCCCAAAAAACAAAACAAAAACCAGGGGACTAGGATTAAAGCCCAACACGATACCGCATTGAATGAGGCATAAAAGGTTCAACTAATTCTTGTACTTTAGGAACTTCGCGCTTAGGTATCCTTATTATGTACTGATCTTGACCCTTACCATTAGCGTTCCGAGTCGATTCAATATTCAATTGATCCAAAAGAAGAGATCGTAACAGGTCAACCTCGGAAAGAGTAAAAGAGTCCGTAGTAATTTGTATGCAACAATCTCGTTTATTGAAGCTCGAGTCACCGGAGAGCCAATAAGCTAGAGCTCTAGCTGTGAATAATTCACCAATATTAGAAGGAATAACTTGAACAATTTTTCCGTCAACTTCACGATGTTGGAAAAGTGTAGTAAAAAGAGGTAGAGCAAACGTAGCGAATGCGTAAGATTGATATCCCCCTTTCCGTATTTTAAGAAGAGGAGCTGCTCCTACAATTCCTATTGTATGAAATACATTTCCCACAGATGATACACAAAATCCTTATCTTTTTGCTCAATACGCAAGCAGACATTAGAATTGGGATACCTTTTATCCTGTTGGAAGCATGCATCACTTAAAAGCATACCATAAATAACTTCCAGGTTTTCATCAGGAAACACAATAGCAGCCTTTTGAGCCTTGCTAAGCCCGGTGCCGGCTGCGGTCTGACCCAACGGGTTGGACGACCCGGTGCCGGGCCTGATAAGGGTACGGCCCGGCAGCAGGAGCCTGATAAGGGTACGGCCCGGCAGCTTAGGGGTTTGTTTGCCTGAAGAGTCAGAAACCGTACCATACCCTCTAATCTGCCCCTGTGAATTCACCCTCCAAGTTAAGCCTAACTACAAATCATTTTTGAGTTTTAAACATCTAACCTTAACAAAGTTCTGACCATTAAAAATCAGAATATTCTTAACATGGTAAGAAATTTGACATGGAATATTGGCACAAGAAGCCTCCATTGAGGTTCCGAACAGAAAATTCTCAAGCTAACAAAAAAGCTTGCGTTCATGACAACAGGCACCAAAAGAAAATGGTTCAGCAGGTTACTAGAGGTGAATAGAGCTCTTCTAAAGCTTCCAAATAGCAAACCTATAATTCCGCCTAGAAGGCCTAGGTTAAACTTAGAGCTGCTGCTGAAAAGGTAACCGGCAACGCAAAGAAGGCACAAAGGCATTGCTGCACTAAAAAATCAGAAAATGTTAACATTTTTAGATAGATAAATGACAGCAGCTGTAAAGACCAGACTTCTGCTGTTTCGCAAAGCTCATCAGATTTATCTATAAGAAGACAGAAGGTAGGGAGTCTTACACTTTAATAATCAAATTTTGGTTTTACATTCCAGATTGTTGCGGTTAGTTATTTTTCAGCCGGCCTTGGTAAAGGGAGCTAGAGTCGAACTTAAAGAATCCAACTCGACAAGTTGAAGCTCTACCAATTAAGCTATCGGAGATTCAAAAGGGGTGACCGTTACTTTTACTCGTAATCGAGAAAGCTGCCGGGCCCTCAGGCTACGGCCCGGAGCGCCGCCGCCCCTTAACTTGAATCCTATCATTGAGGAAAAAGGAATTAAAGGCCCACCCTAGAGGCCATCATTGAAGGGATATGCGGCTTAACAGGTTCTTGCACTTTGGCTACCTCTCGTCTTGGTATACGGATTATAGATTGATCTTTACCTGAATTTTTAACATTCCGGCTAGACTCAATCTTTAAATTCTGAAGAAGAACAGCTTGTAATTTCTCGACCTCAGCAGATGTAAAAGATTCCGTGCAAATGTGATCCCGCCCGCTTTTTTTTTCAAAGTGACCATCCGGTGCCGGGCCTGATAAGGTACGGCCCGCTTAGCCAATAAGCTAGAGCAGTAGGAGTTAGGAGTTCTGCAACGACTCGCCCTGTAAAGGCAACTACTTGAGATGTTTCCTCTAATATAACCAATGCAGAACTTGCCCTTCGGGGCCCCATATATATAGATTGAACCCATCTTAGTTATTTAACTAAGGTCAAAACCACCGGCGGTGACCCAGAATTGACCCCATTGGGTGAGCTATGATACTCATTAGGGTGAGCCCTTTTGGGAGGAGCGAAGAACAGAGCGTGGCTGATCCACCGAAACCTGCCGTGGAATTATGACTATTACAAATATTGAATTTGTGAGCGGATTTGGGTGTAGGTGAGGAGTGATGTTCCAATGGAAGATTCTGGATAGGCTGGTGTTATTGGAACCATAGTTAGCCTATGGAAGTATGATAAGTAACGGAGTTTTTTGATCTACGATGACATTCTACTATGTTTTGAATAGAAAAGGTGAAACATTAAAAGTTTGCCTTTCTTACCAGGAAGCCTACTTATATAGTCAAACCCTTCGCTCACGTGTTTCTATAATACCCGTCATTGAAAATGATGCTTCCACTTCTCACATTCATTCAGAGACTAAAAAACCTACGGGTGTCAACCCACTAATAGAGGTGTTGCAGGGGGAGGCTTTCAGTCTTCACGTTCACAACGGCGTTCTTATTCTAGTGAATCAACTGATTCAGGTAAAACCAGTAGACGCCTTAGCAAAGCTCAAAAGGCTGCTATTGTGTTCCCTCCTTATATCATTGAGGTTATTATAGGCATGCTTCTTTCGGACCGGAGCCGGCTGCGGTCTGACCCAACGGGTTGGACGACCGCAGGAGCCTGATAAGGCTGCGGCCCGGCAGGCTCTATAAGAATGAATCATCCCGGGTGCGATGCTTGTATGCGAATCGAGCAAAAAGATGCACCCTTTTTACAATGGTTATGGGATCTCTTTGATTCTATAAGAATTGTAGGGCTACCTCCTAAGGCTCGCGATCGTACCGATCATAAACGGAATTTCTCTTGGACTACTACCTACTTTGCTACCTTTTCCTTGCCTTTCTTTACTGTGCTTTTCTATCAGTGGTATCGGCAGGTTGATGGAAAGAACGTGAAGGTCCTTCCTCCCAATATAGGAGAGCTTTTTACTCCTGTTGTTTTTGCCTTCTTGATTTGCGGGGACGCCTCTTATCATAAAAGAGATGGATGCATCCATATTTACACCAATTCATTCACCCCAGCGGAAGTTGATTTATTACGTTCTATCCTCTTAACGAATTTGAATATTGAGTCGACTCGAAATGTTGCAAATAGAGCTAAGGAGCAGTATATGATTCGAATTCCTAAAGGGGAGGTTGGTAAGCTTCAGGAACTAGTTAAACCCCATATTCCTTCGATTATGCACTACCGTGTTGGTCTCTAGACCACTCGGAATTAAAGAGTTTGCCGGCTGGGCTATGCCTGTAAGTAGGTTTCCCTTTTGAGGTTAAACTAACCGGCCTCTTTAATGCCTCTTTTTCCAGGTCAGGTTAGGAGACTATCATCTAAGAGATTCACGGGAATGAAGCTCGGCTGGGAATTAAGCAAAAGGATCAGGGATTCGTCCTCGGTCTTTGGATACGTTTTGATTCCACGGGGCTTGTGGGTGCCCATCCTAGTGAACAAAAGTCCATTATAAAACCCTCCGGTAACACCCGACTTGGTTATCAATTCCAGACCTTTACTCATCATTACTTCACTGAACTTCACAATACATGGTAAGTATTCGTCGAAGGGAAAAGGTCAAGGTTCTACCGGCAAATATAGCTGATCTTGTTACTCCTAGAGCCTTGGCTTATTGGCTGGCGGCGGCGTACCCGCCGTACCCGGCTGCGGTCTGACCCAACGGGTTGGACGACCCGGTGCCGGGCCTGATAAGGGTACGGCCCGGCAGCAGGAGCCGTACCCGCCGCCCGTACCCGCCGCCCGGCGGCCTCTAAGTCCGGTGCCGGTCCTGATAAGGGTACGGCCCGGCAGCTTTCTCGATTACGAGTAAAAGTAACCCTTGAGTTGGGCTTGTAGCTTAAACGGTAAAGCTCCGATGTTTTCAAGTCGGAATATGTTAGTTAGACTCTAACAAAGCCCGAGGTATCTTTCCAGGATTAAGTTCAGCTTAAAAGGTAAAATTGACTTGTCGAGTTGAAAAGATGTTGATTCGAATCCAATAAAACCCGCTTATTCGTTTTAAGCTAACTTCACTGGCAAGTCGGATTAAGTTTGCCTCTAACAAGGCCCTTTCGTCTAAGGTGGCAAGGACAAGGCAACTTCACTGCCTAAACGCCAGTTCGAACCTGGCAAGGGTCATACTATGGTGCACATACTCTAGGTTAGTGCGGCTCCTAGCTCCAATTGGAAAAGGGTGACTTTCACTCTATAGAGAAAGCGCCGCCGTCCTTCTGAACAAAAGAGCATTATAAAACCCTCTGGAAACACCCGAGTGGCTTATCAATTTTCTACCTTTACTCATCCATTCTTAACTAAACTTCATTCGGAGTGGTACCGCAAGGTCGACGGAAAAAACGTGAATTCCTTCTAACATTGATTCCCTTTTAACGCCTAGAGCCCTTGCTTACTGGCTCTCCGGCTGCCGGCTGCGGTCTGACCCAACGGGTTGGACGACCCTGCGGTCTGACCCAACGGGTTGGACGACCGCAGGAGCAGGAGCCGTACCCTTATCAGGACCGGCACCGGACGGGCACTTTGAAAAAAGATCAAGGAGGAATTCGAATATCAACTGACTCATTCACTGTTGGTGAGGTCGATTTATTACGGTCCGTAGTATTAGATAAGTACGGAATCCAATCTACTCGCTATGCTAAGAATCAAGATAAGGGCCAGTACATTATAAGAATTCCTAAAAGAGAGCTACCTAAAGTTCAAGAGTTGGTGAAACCTTTTATTCCACCTTGTATGGCTAAGCGTGTTGGGCTAGAATGATGGAAAGCTTCAGATTACAGGTCAAAATGCTCGCCTTCGTATAAAACAAAAAGACAAAGAGTTTGTAATTCATCTTAGATCTCTTTAATCATGTAGGTATTGTCGGAGCTGCCCCTTTGCAGTGTACTACTTTTGATAAACGTACAGGGGAAACCTACTCTGCTTTTGATTTTCTCTACCTTTACTCTTCCTTTCTTTACTGAGCTCCATAGCAAAGGGTACCGTAAAGTAGAGGGGAAGAACGTAAAGGTCCTACCCGAGAATATAGCTGAACTGTTGACACCTAGAGCCTTGGCCTATTGCCTCGCGGGAGAAGGTGGTTATGATAAAAGTCGAGGAGCAATACGGATAGCCACTCATTCCTTTACTCCAGAGGAAGTTGATCAATTGCGAGCTGCCCTACTGAATAATTTTAATATTGAGTCTAGCCGCAATGTTTATGGTAAAGCCAAAGCCAGTACAGAATCCGTATCGCTAAAAGAGAACTACCTAAGCTTCAAGCTTTAGTGAAAAAGCACATTCCGCCAATGATGGCCTGTCGGGTAGGGATTGAAACTGAGTTTTAGGGTTTTTAAAGGCTGCCCTAAGGGGCATAATCACTTTCTTTGTTGATTTTTATTCTGAAACATTTAGCTTTAAAAAATTCCCCCTCTCCCCAAGGCCCTCGGCCTCCCTATTAGCTAGATTTATCTTAGGTGCCCCTTGTAGATTGCCCCGTCTTCGACGGGCTCCCATTAAACTCTCTAATGCTAGCTTCGGCAAAAATTATTGGAGCTGGTTTGGCAACTATCGGAATTGCAGGCTCTGGGGTTGGAGTCGGCTTAGTCTTTGGTGCCCTTATACTGGCTACAGCCCGGAACCCTTCGCTTCGAGGCCAATTTTTCTCTTATGGTGTCTTGGGTTTCGCCTTAGTCGAGGCCCTTGCCCTGTTCGCTCTTATGATGAGCTTCCTTCTTCTTTATGGAACTTAGTCTTCTTTCCTTTTCTTTTTAACTTACCTTCAAAATTCCCCCCTCCTCTCTTCCCGTGTCTTGATCATGGATGAGAGTGCCTTGTATCAGGCACTCCTACCTAATCGTGCCCCTTGTAGATTGCCCCTGCAGCCGGCACCGGGCTTACCAAAGAGCAAAAGGCAGCAATAGTGATTCCCGCTGAAATCCTATAAGTAATTACAGGAAGGCTCCTTAGCGATGCCTGTATAGCCTTTCCAAAAAGGTTCTGGGAAAGGTAATGCCACCCTGCTAATTAAGCAAAAAGATCATGAGCTTGTTATTCAGCTTTGGGATCTTTTTTCCTCTTTAGGTATTGTGGGTGCTTCCCCGCGGAAATCATCTTACTACGACAAACGTTACGGTAAAACTTCTGTCTCATATGGCTTCGAAACCTTTACACTGCCCATTTTCACTGACCTACACCGAGTGTGGTACCGTAAAGACAACGGTAAGAATGTCAAGGTCCTACCTTTGAACATAGCTGAACTTTTGACTCCTGTTGCTATTGCTTACTTGCTCTCAGGGGATTGACATTATCATAAAAAGGGATGGGTGCATTTTACACTAATTCCTTTACTGCTGGGGAGGTCGACCTTTTACGCTCTATTCTTCTTAAGAAATTGAATATTGAGTCTACTCGTAACTCAGCTGGTAAGAAGGGTAATGAACAGTATATTATCCGAAATCCTAAAAGGGAAGTTCCGAAAATTAAGGAGCTTGTTCACCCACACATTCCTGCCAGTATGGCCTATAGAGTTGGGCTTTAATTGAAGTTTGAGGGGGGTTAAATGGCTGGTCATGCGCCGCCCGCCGGCCGTAAGGCCGGTGCCGGCTGCGGTCTGACCCAACGGGTTGGACGACCGCAGGAGCCTGATAAGGGTACGGCCCGGCAGCTTTCTCGAGAGAGTGATAGTCAGCCTTTTACCCCCCTTACTATATTAGAATCAATATTAATCTGATATTCTATATTTAAATCCTTCCAGCGCTGCGTCATCGCGTTCGGAAGGAGTCAAAGGGGGTATAGTATAACTGGTAATACGCAGAGTTTGCATCTCTGTATTGGTAGTTCGAGGCTGCCTACCTCCACAACCCCCACTCTAAATGGCTTCGGAAAAGGCCTGCAGAGTTTTTGGCAAAGGAGTTTTAAGGATCTTCTACTCAAAGAGGGTGCTGCGATATGTAAAGTAAGTTTTGACTTTCTCTCTCTCCTCGCATGAGCCGCTGCCTTGTTAAAGGAAATACCAAGTTACGAGCAATTTCATAGTGTTTTGTATGCCACCCCCTATTAAAAATGATCGCGCTGTAATCGAAAAGAAAAAAACCGAACACTTAAACTAAACTTCACTGAACTGTTACTTTACTTGACTTTAACTCAACTAAACGGTAGTCCGTCTACGGATGAGTTTTCGCGGGACAGGGCATTACTCTAAACCGGCTTCGCCGGCCTCTTTTTTTTATAGGGGTGAGATTTGATTTTTAAAAGGCAGGCTTTGTTCCAGGGTTTCCTTGGTTAATTTTTCTAATGTTTAATTTTCAAATAAGTAAACCCTACGGGGGATTGAAGGCTAATATTTGAAATCTGAGAATGAAATCCCAAATAATTTACCGATTTCGAATGTTTTCAACATTAGTAAATTAAGCTGGGCCAACGGCCCTATTTTCCTATACCTTCACCACAGAGGAGGTAGATTTCTACGCTCTCTTATTCTTCAAAAATTTGAATATTGCCTCTTTAACAAATTGACAAATTGAAATTCCCACCCCCCACCATTAATTGTGCTATCCGCAACGATCTGGAATTGAAAACCAATTCTTAAAATTAAGATAGTTTGAACCCGTCATAGTTCATTAGAGTGTGGCCTTTATTGTGGTCCGAGGAACGTAGTTCTTTGTAGCATCTGGGGTTTCTTTGAATTGCCCAGAGCCGAGTGAGCTCGCTATTGTTACCATTAAGTTTGAGGAGTGCCGGTTCATTGGCAAAGATTTCGGATTGGAAATCCGGGTTGCCACCCTATATTGATAGAGGTTCCCGAGCCGGCCTCCAGTTTGATAATGATGACAATGAATATTTTGAGATTAATAGGTTTTGTTTTTGTTTTGTTGTTTTTTACTTTGACTTTGTGCCTTTCCCTTCAATTAGTTACCATGATGAGCAACAATTTATCAGTTACCCAGATGAACATTCTCATCTTAGTTCATACTTTTGTATTGGGATTCGCATTAGTTACCATGATTGCTTTCATCTTATGGTTTGACTTTTATCTTTGTGTTACCGTTCCAAAAAGTAAACCCATCCCTTGTAACTCATTACTGCAACCTCGAAGTCGGAGTCGAACTCGAACTCCAAGCCGGGGTTATACTACTGCAGCTGCGCCTTCCCTCTTCTTCTTCTTAATATCCGGGCGGCAAAGTCAAGTTTTCTTCATTCCCGGACCCTCAAGGTAAGGACACTCCAAACCAAAGCCCAAAAGGCAGCAATAGTCTTCCCTGACGAAATCAAAGAGGTTATAAGTTGCCTGCAAAGGGGACCATAAAAGCCAGAGGAGCAGGTCTGACGAGGTGCGGCCTGTCGGCTGCGGTCTGACCCAACGGGTTGGACGACCGCAGGAGCCGTAGCCTGGGGGCTACGGGCCGTAGCCTGGGGGCTACGGGCCGTAGCCTGGGGGCCCGGCTCCGCCGGCTCCGATCCAACCCGTTGGGTCAGGCCGCACGCCCTTAGGCCGAAACACTTTGCCTGAGTCAGGTTCCGGCAGGTGTCATCATGCTACCTCATCTGTCTCCCTTAAAGCCAGCAATGGCTATTTATTCCGCTTACATTAGTTCTGCTCTTTTACAAAGACTAGCCATCTTAGTATTACTATACCTGGGGGTATGGACTCTGAATAGTTTGTATTTTGGCCGGTTAGCTCACCGGGTAGCCAGGTGGAGTTTTCCTAGTCGCCTTACTCTCTCAATCATTTGATACCTTTTTCCTGGCCTCCGTTTTCTTTGCTAGTTCTCTGCTTTCTTCGCCTACCTATTATTGCTCCGACTATTTCGAGGAGCACCCTGTTGAGGATCTCTTTGTTGAAGACTTTGTTGTTGCTGGGGAAAATGAAGATCCCACTATTCGGGTTCTTTATTCCCCCGACTGTCACTATTACCATTACTATAACCCTGCTACAGGAAAATGTGGCTATGCTGCCGCGGCGGCCGGCGGCCGGCGGCCGCCGCTGCTTCCTTCGATAAATCTTGAGGTTGTATAAAAGTATGTTCCGATTCATTTACTGTTGAGGAAGTCGACCAATTACGCTCCATACTCTTAAGCAAGTTCAATATTCATTCTACTAGGAATGTTGTTCGAGCCGGTCAATTCCGTATTCGTATTCCTAAAAGAGAGGTAGCTAAAGTACAGGAACTTGTAAAACCTTTCATTCCCACTTCGATGGGTTATCGAGTCGGGTTAAAACAATTGCCGGCTGGGTAGTGCCCCGTAATGAGGTTTCTCTTTTATAGTAAAACTAACACTTGACACCTAGCACAGCACGGCTGCCAGCCACACTTGTGAAATTACGAGCTATGGTTAGCCATTTGGCCTACCTCTTGGTTCCGCATTGGTCCCCTTTCCTTTCAGTCGCTGAGAATCTCTTTAGAGTAAAAGTAACCGGCCTCCTTTAATTTAAGAGTTTGGTCTTTCCTCTCGGTAGACCCTTCCCTGATTCTTCTAATGATCTTCCTACTGACTCTACTAATCCTGATTCTGGGAATCTAATATCATATCTCTTCTCTTGGCCTTTCCTATGATTACTTTAGCCCGCTTAACAAATTCCCCCCCCCCCCAGCTTTGTGGACCTCTTGCGCTCAATTCTTTTTGATAAATACGGAATAGAAACTACTCGCAATGCTGCTAATAAGTCTAAAGAACAATCTATTATACGGATTCCGCAACGACAGGTAGCCAAGGTCCAGCAACTCCTTAAACCGCATATAGGTTCTTCGATGAAATACCGGGTTGGGCTTTAACCTTATTTTGAGAAGTTAAAGGGCTGTCCGAAGGTCGTAATGCGCTTTCTCAAGTTCAAGGAGCCTTCGCGTATTCGAGTAAAAGTGAGTAAAAGTAACCTTTACCCTAGTCGGGATAGTATAGTGGTTAATACAGGCGTATCATAAACGCAAGACAAAGGTTCAACCCCTTTTCCCGACATATTAGCCTGGGGGGGGAATTTTTAAGGAGATAAAAAGTGAAGGAAAAACAAATCAACAAAACAAAGAGCAGCAAACCAAAACAGGAAGGAGATCAACGTAGTTTATACAGCATTGACTCGTGAAAGTAAGGGGTAACAATAGAACGGAAAAGGGCCATAGAGGATGCCTTAATATAAAGGCGAGGCTGACCAAGCTGAAGATGGATAGTGCAGTCAAGGTTGAATCGACCCTTGAGAGCGTCGCAAAGAAGCTGGACCTCCTCATAATGAAAGGAGTTGGTAGAGAGTTAGAAACCACCACCGTGTTTGCTACCGTCGGACATAGCCCAGAAGGCGAGAGCTTGTGGTGTCAATAACTCCGCTATACACCACGGTATTCGCTTTCGCCCAAATACATAGAAGATGTTACAAAGCTAAGTGAGAAAAGGATAACTTCGAGTCCATAATTCTATAGATAACCTTTACCAAAGCCACTCTGTAGAACAAGCTGAGGCCCAGATTGGATATAATGCGAGAGTATGGAAAACACCGACAAGATAAACCCAGAATGGATAGTTCGTTCTTTGTTTAAATCCTAGCCGTGCGTTCTTTCTTCCTTTACGAAGAAAGAGGGTTGCGTCACCTAGGATTAGCCCGACTATAACCCCATAAACAAAAGGTGGACAGTATGTAAGAGAGATTACTAGAGGAGAGAGGGAAAACCCTACGGTTGACCATAGAGCAACCCCCCAAAGTACAAGAGCAGTAACCCCTAAAATGGGAAGGATAGGAAGGCCTTTACCATTACGTGAGCAAAGCCCAATACGGCTAAATACTGGTTTCATTGTTAATTTATGACACTTATCCCATAATATTCTAACTTGACTCGGTTATCATAAACAAACCCCTGGACGCTGCAAAGGTCCTAGAGGCGCCGGGGTAGTAGTGTCCACAGGTAAAGGTTTCCGGCCTCTTTCTTACGGTTATCTTCAGGTTTACCCAGGAACTATCCTGAGCTTCCTGGTAACGGGGCTTCTAGTAATGGCCCTTTCTGTTTTAGGGGGTTTACTCTACTCGTTTGTTGTTACATATTTTCTTATGTCTAACTCTGTGCTATTATTTCGCTCATTAGAGCAGACCCGGCTTTATTCGACTGCAGATTCTCCTCAATCTGCGCCCTCGGGAAAACCTAAGGGCAAACCCACTAGGTTAACCAAAGAGCAAAAAGCAGCTCTAGTCATTCCTGAGAACACGCTACAACTTATTACAGGTATGATTCTAAGTGATGCCCACTTATATCAGGATAAGAGGGCTCCCAACGGTAATGCTCGACTTAAAATCCAGCAGAAGGATCAAGAGTTTGTACGCCACCTTTGGGACCAATTTTATTCACTAGGGTTCCTGGGGGCCCTCCCAAAGAGTGTCAAAACCTGATCGAGCTCACGGGTAATACCGTAGTTAGCTACGTGTTCGCTACCTTCACACTGCCTTATTTCACTGATTTGCACATGCTCTGGTATCGTAATGTTGACGGAAAGAACGTAAAGGTTCTACCGGCAAATATAGCTGATCTATTAACTCCTATTGCTATTGCATATTGGCTTGGCGGCGGGCGGCCATAGGTACGGCGGCTATTGTATTTACTGATGATATTAAAGAGCTTATTACAGGTATGATATTGGGGGACGGAAATCTGCGAATGATAGGTAAAGAAGGCCGATTGCAAATCGAACAGAAAGATCGTGAGTTTTTACAACTCCTTTGGCAGCTCTTTAGTGGTGTAGGGATTGTAGGGGCACAGCCTAGAGAACGCTCTCATTTTCTAAGCGTAAGTGGACAAACTTACAATACCTACGCATTCGAAACCTTTACTCACCCTTTCTTCACTTAACTATTTAAGGTTTGGTATAAAAACAGTGGAGGGAAAAATGTTAAGCCTTCGCCTGCTGCCGGGCCGTAGCCTTATCAGGCCCGGCTCCGGGTCGTCCAACCCGTTGGGTCAGACCGCAGCAATATAGCTGACCTTTTAACACCCAGGGCTCTTGCTTACTGGATCAGCGGGGGACTACAGTCAAAGTTATGAATTTATCCGTATTTATACTCATTCTTCACTCTGGAGGAAGTTGACATCTTGCGCTCTATTCTATTAAATAAATACAACATCGAGTCTACTCGCAATGCTGCTAACAAGTCTAAAGACCAATTTTTAATCCGAATTCCTAAACGAGAGGTTCCGAAAGTGAAGGAACTTGTTTCCCCGTTTATGCCTACTTGTATGAGCCTCCGTGTAGGGCTATAATAGCCTTTCCTCCTTAATCAGTATTCCCTAAAAATACCCCCCCTCACTTTAGATAAATATGACATAGAGAGACAAGCCGTATCTCTAATGGGGTAAAAGGTAAAGAACAATATCGTATCCGTATTCCTAAAAGAGAGGTAGGAAAGGTGCAGGACCTGGTGAGACCACACATCCCTCCTATGATGCGACATCGAGTTGGTCTATAATAGCTTCCTCTTTGCTACCTTTTGGGTTCTTCCTACTCGTTCTGGTTTCTTTTTGCTCTCCTTCAACTTACTTTCAAAATTCCCCCCCCATTTAACTCAGGAGCCCCTTTTTGGATCTGTTTCCCTGGTTTAACGGAGTTCGCTTCTATTTTCCCTGCCCGCTTACCTTTGTTGGTTTGTCGGGTTGGAGGGTTGGCTACCTCTACCTCTTCTTTTTCTTAAGGGGTGGGTAGGTGTTAACCTGAGCTCCCTCGTATTGGGTCTTCTACAGACTCTTCCTTATTTTGGGGACCTTGGCTCCGATCCTGCATAGTGGTTTTATTCGAATTATTCTGGTCATACTCATTCGGGTTCTTCCAAAGGAAAGGCGAAAGGCAAAGCTACAAGAAAACAGCTTACCAAAGACCAAAAAGCTGCTATTGTTTTCCCTCCTCAGATACAAGAAGTCATTACAGGTATGCTGTTATCCGACTGTTCATTACAAATTATGGGAAAAGACGGTAGATTACACATACACCAGAAAGACACAGATTTTGTTTACCATCTTTATGATCTCTTTGATACTTTAGAAATAGTAGGGGCTACTCCCAAAGAGTGTAAAAGCGTGATCAAACCCTCCGGTAATACCAGAGTTAGCTATGTGTTCGCTACCTTTACCCTCCCCTTTTTTACTGAGCTTCACAAAAGGTGGTACAAGAAAATAGATGGGAAAAACAGGCAAGTTTGACCTTCTAACATTGATTCCCTCCTAACTCCGAGAGCTATTGCTTACTGGCTTGGCGGCGGGCGGCGGGCGGACGGTGCCGGGCCTGATAAGGGTACGGCTCCTGCTCCTGCGGTCGTCCAACCCGTTGGGTCAGACCGCAGGG